GAGCTATAATTTACGTAGATAATTCACCTAAATGTCAGCTTGAGGAAGGCTTTTGAGAATATTATGAAAACAAAAACATCATCTTGGTTACTGGCATTCCTAAATTTTGAGATCGCCATTTACAAAATCCTTAAACAAAAGCAAATTAGTTTTATTAATCTAAAATATAAGAGTAAACAAGTAAAAATTACAGTGATAAAAAACCTTAATACCCTCCAAGGTTTATTAAAAAAACAATAGTTGTGATTTAATAAGTATCTTCAACAAACATGCTTTATTTTCTAATTTAAAAAGATCCAGAAATTTAAAACATTTCCCAAGTTTAGCAATTTATTTATTGTTTTACTTTTGTTTAAAAAAGAGTTCACATTTATTGGCACTGGAACTTTATACTCAAATGATTTAGCATAAGTAAGATCAATAAAATTACCTAATATACAAAATGAGCTTATTTAGATATATTGATCACCTATGGACCAACCAGGCTGACCTGTGTGAAACAAAAACTGGAACCAATCAGGGTTTTTCATGAAGCCAGTTTAATTTAGGTCATGAGAAATAATACAGAAACTGTAACAAGACACAAACAGCAAAAGCATAAGTGTGGGAGCATGATGTGTATAAACCATGACTGTGACCAACCGTGAAGATGCAAAAAAGACAGTATGAAACACTGAAGGACATAACTTAGTTTATTTATTCACTGGTTTTGTCACAGTCATACTGGATCATTGAACCACATGATGACTTAGAAAAGCAGGGATACGTTTGTTTTTGTGTTGTTTTATTGTACAACATAAAACCCCCATTGCCGGGCAGTGGAAGGAATACTTTGAGGACCTTCTCCATCCCACCAGCATGTCTTCCAAGCAGGAAGCAAATTGGGGGCTTTGGAGTTGGTACACTGTGGTGCTCTGCAGGGGTCATGCTCTAAGGGTGGACAAGATCCTCCTTGCGTTCCTCAATGCTCTGAATGTTGCTGTCTTGGTAGACAAGCCTTAGCAACATGGCATGGACATTGGGAATAGTACGGACTGAGGTGGTGGATCCCCTTTTCAAGAAGAGGGACGGGATGGTGTGTTTCATGGGGAAACAAACTCCTCAGCCTCATCTGTAAGGTCCTTTTTAGGGTGATGGAAAAGAAAGTCCAGTCAGTGGTTGAACATTGGATTCAGGAGGAATGATGTGGGTTCTGTCCAAGTCTTGGAACACTGATCCAGCTGACAATTTGCCCAACCGGTCTACATTTGTTTTTTGGAACTTGGAGAAGACATTTGACAGTGTTTCTCAGGATGCTCTGTGCGGGGG